ACACACACACACACACACACACACACACAAAGCACTAGAGATGGGCATGAACCAGAAAACTGGTGGTTCATGATGGTTTGTGGTTTTTCTGCTTTGTGGTTCAGTTCCTGCTCCTCGCTCATAAGTACCGCCATTAGGGCAAATGCCCAGAAGAGGAATTAATAAAATAAACAGTAGAGATGTTATAGCCTACGAGAATGGACCATAACTCAGTGGCCAAGTGTATGTATGCTTAGAATGCAAGAAGGTGCAAGCATGAATCCCTGGTGTCTCTGAATAGAGCTGAGAACATCCCTGTTTGAAACCTTCAGGAGTCACATATGTGCTCATATTGCAATTACAGGGAATTCCACATCACATTACTAGAAGAGGTCCGTGAATAGAGCTGAGAACATCCCTGTTTGAAGCCTTCAGGAGTCACATATGTGCTCATATCACAATTACAGGGAATTCCACATTTCTAGAAGAGGTCCATTCCTGGCCAATTCTGTCTTCTGTCCTCTCTCCTTGCTCAACTGAGTCAAATAAAGACCTCCTTCATGGAAACATGTCCCTGTCCTGAACAGCTTTCCTGCCCATACCTTATTATTTATTCTATGGTGGAAGAATTAGACAGCCTCTCTGTGAAACCCCAACTGTTTCCTGAAATCCAACATGACCAGTCCTGCCAATGTGTTGCCATGGCAAGGCTTTATGGCAAGTACATACTGTTTACAGGGCTATTAACATTTGGCTTAGCAGTGACAGGCAGAGTGGGGATATATATCAAAAGGAATCTGCATGTCCCTGACACTCTTTTGCTGTGGCTTCCTTCCTTTATAGGAGAGGGGTGGTTTACTTGGTGAAGTCAGGGAAAAGAGCAGCAGGCAGCTGACTCAGAGGGTACTGGCCTGTATAATAGTCAACAGGTACTTAAGGCAAGGGCTGTAATAGAGAGCAAGAAGCTGACTTGCTTAGTAAAACAGAAGATGTGCTGGCCTCTTAACTTCTAGTCTCCCAAGAGTAATCGGCAGCTTATTAGAGACTACAGGCTTGTACTAATCTATAGGTAAAGCCAGGAGGATGGCAGAGAGGAAAATGTGGTTTCCTTAGTAAAATCCCAGAAGAAGTGGGATTTCACTTGTATGCACGTAGGTCAGAAAGAGCAGCAGGCAGCTGAAATATCTAGGATCTAGGATACTGTAAAGAAAATACGATGGAAATGATGGCTTTCAAAAGTGTGGAAAACACACAATAGGATTTCGGGTGTGCCTAGTGGAAAAGGGAAGTCACCCAGGCTGTAGCACAAGGGCAAGCAGATTAAGGAGTATGATAGTAGAAGGACTGCATGTTAAGTATCTATGCCACAAAGACCAGTAAGCATTGTTGTTTGCACCACTGCATGAATACATTTTTAAAAGAAACAAAAACAGAAGAGGGTCAGAAGAAAAACGCTAACATACTTGTTGTGACTGAATCGTGACTTGAAGCCCAAACAAGAAAGCAGTCATCCATCAAAAGTTACACAAACTCAAACCTTATAGTGCAAATGAGTATAGTTTAATAAAGTAGCATGAGAACAAAAAGAAAAAAAAATCCATAATGCAAAAAACTAATCTAAACAGTGATGCATTTCTCTCACTTCGCCCTGCAGCTATCTAGGGAGGAAGCAGACAAATATAGTCTGATGACCTGATTAATAGATCCTCCCCCAGAGATTCAGTGGATGGAGCATCCAGGAGAGGTCTTGAGATTCATTGGGGTTTCAACTGTCAATCACTGCACCCCACAGGAAACAAACTGCTTCCCTCCTCACTCAAGCAGCATCTCAAGGGGACCCAGTCTTAGCTGTACCACCACACAGAGAGATTTCTATTTTCCTTCCTAACTATTTTACTGATGAAATACCCCATCACACAAGGATAACAAATTTACAGCAAAATAGTAAACAGCAACTGAGAGAAAATTCTATTAGAAAAAAAAGTGAAGGGGAGTTTTTATTTCTTCCCTTGTGTTGTAGTCCTTATACACTCCTGAGGTGGGAGAGAGATGGAGGTGCACCAACATCTTCTCAATTCCATCTTCTGAATAATGTGGATAGGTTTCTATCTTCTGAGACCTGCCCACAACCCATCTAAATAGAATGCAGGATTCTCATGTGGAGTTACCAAATGTACCAATCTCTGGAGTGGATCTTTAACAATTAAAGATAATTTTAGCAGAAGTGCCACCCCTCTCACTTCTTCCCTATAAGTACCTTCCCCTCTCCGAGCAACAGAACTCAACTGCTAATTGTATGCAAGTCACCTTCCCCAGCTACTACTTATAGAATTGATTTTTAAGTCAATTAACCAAAGCATCCTACAACAGTCACTGCCCAGTACTACTCTCAAGACACTTGTCCACTTAAAGTGCATCAGCTACTTGTGTCTTCCCATTCATACAAGTCAATGTCAGTGAAGTTACTATGGTACATGACCTGGAAAAGTCCACTAACAACTTTCCCCATAATCTACCTATTAAACAAAGAAAAAAAAAGAAATCCTAAGTAAATAACTCACAATCTGTTGCCCTCTCATGAGGCTAGACTCTGCTACCGGAGGCAGCCTTCTCTACCTAATATTAGAACTTTATCTGCCATTACATCTCATACAGCAGATGCCAGTTCCTCCCATAATTTCTGTATCTAGGATCACTACAACAGCAGAGAGAGGGGGGAACAAGGTTTGAAAACCAAGGCTCATTACAGAAAACTCAAGCCTTGATTTTCATCTCAGGCGGATAGCCCAGCTGCGGCCCTACCTTGATGTGGGGGCGCTCACTACCTTGGTACATGCGCTCGTAATCTCAAGATTAGACCGCTGTAATGCGCTCTACGTGGGGCTGCCTTTGAGGTTGCTGCGGAAGCTACAGGTGGTGCAGAACGCAGCGGCCAGATTACTCAGTGGAGTGAAAAAATTCCAACATATATCGCCCACTCTGGCTGCACTGCATTGGCTGCCCATCCGTTTCCGCATCGACTTCAAAGTGTTGATGCTCACGTATAAAGCCCTAAATGGTTTAGGGCCTCGATATCTGGCGGAATGCCTACTCCCACCAAGATCTCCCCGTGTCACTTCTGCGAGCCAGGAGGTGAGGCTGAGGAGCCTAACGCCGAGGAAGGCCCAGAAGGAGAAGATAAGAAATCGGGCCTTCTCAGCGGTGACTCCTCACCTCTGGAACAATCTACCTCCTGGGATTCGCGGGGCTCCCTCGCTGGGTATCTTCAAGAATCAATTGAAGACATGGATGTTCCGGCAGGCCTTCCCGCCAGACAATTCCTGACGTCCCTTTCCTTCCCCTTTCCACTGGTTTTCCATCTGTGCAAAGTTTTTATTATTTATCCCACCTTATATATGTTTACTTTTATTATCCTTTGTTTGTTAGCCACCTAGAGTGGTCCAGAGCTGACTAGATAGGCGGGATATAAATAAATAAAATAAATAAATAAATTCAAGCCTTGAGTTTTTCTATGTCATAATCAACAACATTTTTCCATTTTAGGAAACTGAAATCCATGTTAGCATGATGAATGAACATTAAGTCAGAGATCAATACGTGTGCCTACATACAAGATGAACGATAAGGCTTAAAACAACTGGCATACTCAGAGCCAAACATTTAAATGAGCTACCCTTTTTATAAAGTATAATTTTAAGTCGAAACTCTGTAGCACTCAAATATGCTCTTATAAGCCAACCAATTAGAATTTTAACTGCCTTGTATCTGCTTTACTGACAATGGAAGTTAAACAAGCATGCTGAAAGGAGAACCCATTCCTTGGGGACATTTTAAGCTGCAATTTAAAAAGTCATTTAAGATTTCTCCCTTTCTCTTTTCATTCCTCAAAGACAGGACTATTATGAATTACCTTTCAAAAGCTACAAAAATCATGTTTCTAATAATGGATGGGATTTCAACACTTTATTGATATTAATGTTAAATTACAATTAAGTGCACTGCCTGGTTTGCAAGACATGTTACTGAACGCACACAGAGGTATTATGTCACCTAAATATCCTGTGTTCATGCTTACAAAGAGAAATAAGAAAGCTTGTTATTGCCTGGATAGGAAATCAGCCAGTATGACTTGAAATCATATTGTACCAGTGACCAGTTCAGCTGTTAGCAACAGGCTTAAACCATAAGCCTAAACTCCATTGGCATCTCATAAACTTTGGATGACATGATAAACCATGGGTCCACAGGAAATCTGGCTTATCATTTATGAACAGGATGCTGGTACACCCTGCCTAGTATATCCTGCCCACAGCAGGAACAGCTAGAAAAATTACAAAGCTTTACTTCCCTATTTCCCTGAAAATAAGCCCTAACCTGAAAATAAGCCCTAGTATGATTTTTCAAGAGGCTCGTAATATAAGCCTTATCCCCAAAATAAGCAATAGTTAAGTGAAACCCCACCCTCCACCACTGTGCAGTATTGTGCAGCAACCAGAAGATGATATGACTGTAAAATAAAACATCCCCTGAAAATAAACCCTAATGCATTTTTGGACCAAAAATTAATATAAGACCCTGGCTTATTTTTAGGAAAACACAATATGTGGTTGTTTGTCAGGTCATCTGAATAAGCTCACAATTCTTCGCGAATACATATCACAATTCTTCCTTGTTCTGTTTCTTCCCCGACAAATCAGAATGGGAAATTTAAAACAAACTCTGGATTCCTTTTCTGATTTTAAAGAGAAACAAACCAAAGCTTTGGACAATATGCCAAACAAACAGTGGAGCACTTTAGCTGCTATCTGTGCAATCAGGAGCAACAGGGAAACATACACCAGCCTGCTGTTCATACATCACAAGTCAATGTTCCAGCAGATCCCTAGCTTGTTATTCTTTCCAAATCCAGGCAGTATATAATATGTCAATCCCACTCCCTGTGATCAGTGGATCATATGAGACATCCATACTGGTTAGGCCAGGCATTTCAATACCCAAGAGCATGGCCACAAGAACATTACCTTTTGCTGGTGTAATCACAATGGACTGGTTACTGGTCGATTTAGTCTGTAGAGATGGAACTGTCAATCAGAGGAATAGAAAGAGTCTGCTTGCTCTGCCATGGACCTGAATTATAATTATGGACTCCTACCATGTTGTGTAATGTACAATCAGGTGCCACAACATGTGCAAGGGATGATCTGCAAGGAGATGGAAAAGCCTTTTTTTGTATCTGTGGTATCAGTTATATTTTCATAGTTACTATATGTTATCATAACATTTATTTCAAGACTATTGGATTGCATCTTCTGGAACTAAACAGTCTGTGTTCCAAACTTTTAAGCTTTATTTATATCAAAGATTTTTAGAGCTGTATTAATCTGCTGCCCCATCTAAGGTCAGAAGCAAGAGACTGGTTTTATGTAGTACCTGGTTCCTTCCGGAAATCACAACCCATTCAGATGGGGCTTTTAGCATGCCACCACTCTGCTGAATTTTGCAGGAGCTTTACATGGCTTCATCTTCCAGCTGTACCCTCCTGTGCTTTTCCACCACTTCTTCTGGCTTTATCCTTACTCCAGAAAACCTGTTAAAGGGGAAAAGAAAATGAAACAGCTTGTATCTGGTGGCTCTTCCACATGGTCGCAAGAGTCAAACTGCAATTTGTATCTTTCTACTTACTGTTACTTCCCTATTGCTTTGAAAATAAAATGATCTATAGTCACTGTAATGTCCAAAATCTTGGAGAACCCAAACATCTGCAACTGTTCAGAAAGATCACTGTTTTCTACACAAAAAATAATCCACACAATTGATTTGGAATATGATATAGTTCTATTTTACACTTTGGTGACAATTTCACCATTCAGATCCTCTTGATAGAGAGTACCATAGGTGAATCACTTGCTGCTTTGAACCCATCTTTTATTTTTGTGTTATTTTTCTGGAGTTCCTTCTATCATATCCTTCACAGTTTCTCTTTGTATCTCTGTCTTTTCTCAAAACAATGTCTTCTGCTAGAATCTCCTTTAGTCCTAAACTTTCTCAATCAAACTCTGTCTCTTTCTTCCAGCTCTCTCCTGCCCATTCCCTTATCATCCAAGGTCCAAGGTCCCCAATAACCATTCAACCAGTGTTACTACTTATCCAATTTTGCTAGAAATAACTTCCCAAATATTATCTGTAGCCCTTCTATGTTTTGGCTTCCCATTGGTAAGCCAAAATCTCTCTCCCTGTGTTTACTTTATCAATGATTCCCTTTTCCCACACTCATTTGGCTTTCTCTCTTTAACTTTGTAAAAGCCTCCAATTTTGATTACATTATAAAAACACCTATGACTATACATAATTTGTTACCCACTCACACCCAACAGCCTCTTCTAAGTTTAAAGATGAAATGCTATCTTAATTTTACAGCTGCCAAATATGGGGGTGCTCCAAATCTAATTAAATCCATGCATAAAGCATTGTATACACGTATAATGTTGCCTCAAAAATCATAATAAATCAGAGACCCATTCTGTACAAAAAGTAATAGGAAGAAATAACTGCTCATTTACCACAAAAAAGTGCTTCAAGGGAATGATTCATTCTCTTTGTCAGGTTCTCCATCAACATGATGCTTGCCCATCCATTTATTTAATGACTCCCAATCCAAACATTAAATGTTTTTCCTGAGTCACTCTGAACAATTATACAATTATGATACAGTAAAAATCTTCTCCCTTTGACCAAACTAGTAACTTAGTTTTGTTAAAGATCTAGCCTGAACAAAACAGCAAACAAATCTTTTGTTTGCTGTTTCTATAACTATGTGCTAAACTTAAGACTGTGCCTAAACTTAATATTTCTCAAGTAGTTTCTTTCAATTTCATGCAAAAAAATAATAATTCTTATATCAATTATTTTATTTTAAGCCCACCCGGAATCATTTATGGAGTGAAGTTCAAACAGCAAATTAGCTTTGTTGCCTCGACTGTTGTAGTAAAACAAGAACTGATAGTTTTTATTCATAGATTGCATGAGACTGCTGCATTCAATTTTTGCAACAAAAGGAACAAAAAATCCTGTGCTGTGGTATTTAACAAAGTAGGTGCACAAAACTCAAACAAGCTCAGTTCCGGAAAGCTCTCATTCACAAAAGCTCAAAATCCAATGAAAATGTTACACCTTTTCAGTGCTACAGGCCTCTTTATTCGTTTAAAGTAAGACAACTGACAAATAATAAAAGCCATGCTTTCCTAAGTTAGCACAGCAATGACCAAAAGTATTGCTCCATCAGGTTGCAATCCTATACATGCTTACCTGGCACATTTACAGAGCTACTCCTGAGCAGACATGTCCAGGATTGTCTGCAGTCCTATGTACATATCCCTGGCTTAAGCGCCACTGAATAAAACAGAACATACAACAGAGCCCCACTTCTGTATCTTACATTGCTATACTGAGGCTACTTTGACTGCATTCAGAGTCATAATGACCATTCCTTCACTCTAACTTGATTTACCTTTTTTCATTTACCTGGTTTCCACTTAACACAAAATCTACCAATATTTTTATTTAATTTTAAGCACACTTCATTTCACAGTTTTTTCACAATATTCACCCAATATACATAAATACAAGGTTAGTGCAGCATTTACATAAATAAGACAGGTGCAAGCAATTACTGAAAAGCCATAATCTTTTCAACAGTATATAATATATTGTCAAAAATGACCGATACATAACATCATACCCGATTTGCCCTGGATTCCTCTTTATACAAAAAATGTGACAAGAATGCTCTAATATATCTTCCTCACTGTGTGCATACATATGTAAAAACCTTCAAAGATATTTGATAGCTGCTAAGAATGTTTTCTCTTCTAGTAGAGAAAACATCTGCTTCCATTAAAGCAATATCATATTGGACAAAATTCTGTTGTTTAGCATAGTAAATAAAACTACAGGAAGACCACTGAATTATGCTGAGTCAACTCTTTTGTAAATTCCATTGATTCAAATGGACCTATTCTACTTAGGATAGAGTAGACCTATAGACTAGTATAGCATAGTAAGCTGCAGTTAGAGTAGGCCCATTTAAATCAATTGAACTTGTGGAGGAGTTGATTGACTCAATCTCAGTGTATTCAGTGGGCTTACTCTTGTGTGATTTATTATGCTAAGCAGTGGAGTTTTGGACATTATATGCTTTAATAGACAATTACAATATTCCATTGAAACAGCAAATATAAGTTGCAGCTTCTTAGTCTGAGCTCCCAAAAAATCACACAGAACTGCAAAATACTGTAGCACTGATAGATAACTTCAATCTCATCATCGTTTTAATAGGGGACCACTTGGAGATACATGTAATCCCACAAAAATTTTAAGGTAAGAACATAATACAGAATAAACAAATAACGAGCAGCTATTGAAGTCGGCATCTTGTTCGCAACTCTTCTAACCATGTAAAGCCTGTTGATTGGGACCATGCAGAAAATTTCCCTTAGTAAAATAGTGACAATGCAGTGTGGGGCTCTGGACTGGCTCCTTTCAACTTATCACCAGATCCAGACACAGACACTAGAGATATCCTCTAATTAGACCTGGAAGCATGACAATGTTGTAGTGATGTGGTGTGGCAATGCAGTCTTTTCAGGTTTCTGGAATCAGACCTCAAAGGAGATCCAAGTACAGTGGACCCTCTACTTACGGAATTAATCCGTATTGGAGCGGTGGCTGTAAGTCGAAAAGTCTGTAGGTCGAATCTCCATTGACCTACAATGCATTGAAAACTGATTAATCCCATAACTGGCAGTTTTTATTCTATTTTTATTCCATTTTGGTTTTTTTCTGGTCTGTAGGTTGATTCTCCGGCTGCAAGTCGAATCTAAATTTTGCAGCCAGAGAAGTCTGTAACTCAAAAAGTCTGTAAGTCGAGGGTCCACTGTATAAGTCCTTAAAGTGAATCATGCAACAAAGCAAGCTAATTTCCACACTCCCAAAAGTGAGAGGAAATCCTGTTGTGATATTCAGATGTTTGTATTAATTAAGGATTTTACTATAGGCTGCTTCTAACATTACATCTGTTGATCCTTCATTTCTCCCCCATTAGTTGGTAGTTAGTGCTGTAAAAACTGATGCCACTGGCCATCACTAAGCAGCAGCGTAGACGAAGTTTAACATGCTCTTAAGAATATCTGGATCATGGCTTCCATGTATTATTCTCCTCAAATTTGTTTTAAAACTATCTTAAGATGATTTTTTTATGATTTATGAGTTTTGGACAACCAGTGGTTCCACACATTGTATTGTTAAAATGTAATGGCAGCATCTTCAGTCTAGCTTTGTAGACTGAAGTACATGAAACTGAGTAATTTTAATGAGTATTTTAATGAGTAAATGGTTTAAATAGTTATGTTTAAAGAACTCCAGGCAAAAAGATATATCTTTAACTACATTCAAAATAAAGCCATTTTGCACACGCAATGGAAAAACTCGACTTACAGTCAAAAGGAATGAACAAATGTGAAAAGCTAGTTAGTGATTTCAAAATACGTTATGTGTCCTTGTTTTTAGACTGTATCTCCGTACCTCAATTTGCAAAACTCTCATGCAATCACTCTAGTCCCAACCCTGTAATCATCTAATAAATTTCACAGCCCTCCAAACCAGCCATTGCACCCCACAACAAGATCCCATAGGTGTTAATGCTGAGGCGGGCATATTTGAGGCTTACAAAATCTACTCTACTTTAATGAAGACCCAGATCTAATAACTGGAGACAAATACAAATATACAGAAAATTAAAGAATCTGAGCTCAGAAATTAGTTTTGGATACTTGTGCTGTAAGGATCTCACAGTTCTATGCAAGAATCCACTCCTGCTTTGTTTGTATCAACAGCATAGTTTGGGTTTTTTTCTTTTTTTTCTTTTTTAGTCAACTTGCTCCTGATATTTTGAACAACTGGTTGTCAGGAACATCCATGCCAATTTTTTTCAAAATCATCCAGACTATGATCCTGCGTAAACCTTATTCTCTTCTTTCTGCAAACCTTCCTATCTGTCTGTATAATTGACTAACTTACTGTATGGGCAAGAATAGAAAGTCATAAATGTCTGTTTAATCTAGGATGCCTTGTGGACCAAGCAGAGGGGAATCTCACACTGAAATTTTGGGATGCAGCATGTCCCCGCTCCAGTCATGATGAGATACCTGTGACTTTCATCCCCCTGCGCAGAAACATCACACTCTTCCTCAATTAAACACAGACTTCCAAAACCATGATCTACTGCATTTCATTTAACAAAAATCAACTTTTTATTACCTTAACTTTTCATCTATCATCAGTTAGGGGGCTGGGAAAAGACATTTAAAGCTGCTAAGGATACTGTCACCTCTTCCTTCTCTTTCCTTTTCTCCTGATATTAGAAAGAATTAGGGGAGGACTTTAAAACTAGAATTAGATAATTTCTAAACTGCCATATGTTTATTTGTTACAACATAGGCCTACATTAGTTCAAGTGTAATGTAACAGTCTAACTTAAAAACCATACCACTTTCTCAGTCTTACAAGAACCGACTTTTGTTACAATGTAAACTCCTTCCACCTATACGCTACAAGTTATAACACTTTGGAAATGCTTTATATATGCTAGCATAGGATGTAATGAAAATCCTAAAGAAACAGTAATCTTATTGAAACAATGTTATATACCAAGTCTGTACTTCATTTGACCTTCTATTTTAAGACTGTCAGAACATGATTTGGCAAGAATCACATGTGGGCACTAGTTAATTCTACTGTATTGTAATCAGGCAAGGTTTAAATGCTTAAATATTATTTGTATAATGTTTAAGGTGAGATCAAAATGCTCGGGGCTAAGGCAGGTGTAATCTAAACAAGACTGACATTGGTAATCAGATATTCAATTTTAAAGAAACTCTCCCTTGAGTACAGTAACTTGCCCTAATATCTATCTGCTGCTGCTTCATCTGCTGGAGACAGTCTAAGATGTTATAGCCAAAATACCATTAAATCACGCAAATGAGAATTGTGCACTCATTGAATTATATCTTGAATAAACAATAGTCTCCATAACTTATTTGGCAATTACTTATTTATTATAATTGTAGCCTACCTTTCTGAGAATACAAAGTGAACTGTAACACAGAAATTGTTCAACAGAACCATTCTATACATTATGAGCTACTTCTCAAGAGTGACAAAGAACCTAAGCATCTTTGAAATATTTTCGTATTAGACTACTGACTGAGACTACAACTACTGACCAATAATTCCATTGAATATATAAAGTATACAAATAAACACTGACACCACCACAATTAAGCAACCTGTATTTTTCTCTTTTTTTAAGGACTGGGTTTCTTTAATACCTGAAAGCTGAATTCATAATTAATAAAAGCTTTGTAAGGCTATGAATACTGACTCTTGAAAAACATCCCTTGTTCACACTTCAGTTAAGGATTTTAACACAGTCAATTTTTCCCATTTTAGAAAAAGAGAGAGATTGTGTATTCATATTAAAAAGAAGAAATTTACTTACATATACATAGAATACATATTCCTTGCAGGTAGAAATGTTAAGGTTGCATTTTATTAAAAATTGCCTGTCAAATAATGAAATAAACCTAGAGAAGATAGCTTAAACAGATCATTATAACCCCATGATAAAATTACAGCCTGGTATATATCAACATTTTATCACACTTAACAGCATATGGCAACATACCTAATAAGATTTCAAGAACACACATTTATTAAGGCCAAAGCATCTTTGAAAACAGTATGTTCTTTACGAGCTCAAAATATATAATGTATCCAAACATGCTTACAGTGTTGTTTTAGGTCCAGTTCATCCTTCTACTCTACTGCAGACTATCAAACTCTACTATACTTCCTTTTCATGCTCTATCTGAAGATTTATGAATGCCCTGGGCATGCCTCTTATACAAATGTAGCATTTCTTTCCTTTCTTTTTAATTCGTAGTATATCCAAAGAAAAACATTTTCAAAATGTGATACTGTAACTGGTCCTTAGCTTGATAAAGTATTCAAGAACTGCAGTACAGTAACAATTGTTTGTTTCACCATAATTTACAGCATTTTGTTATACTAAACCTAAACTGAAATGCTCCTACAAAATACAAAGAATACCCTTGTACTGTATACTCTTCTCTGGCAGAATGAAGACACTCAGTCTGCACACAGATTTCATACAGAGAAACAATGTCCTTGGTCTAGAGACTTTTTCCATTCTTTGGAATTACTTCAATTTGCCTTTTGCTACCATTAATATGAATGAAGTAATGGGGGGGGGGCGATTATAAAGTAAAAAATTAATAAAACAAGAAGCAAAGAACAGAATGCCAACCTATCAGACTCCAACCTAGCTGAAGATATACATGTGGCATGCATTGTGCCCCTATGAATTCAATAAGGACTTCACTGAGAGTTAGCAGGGTTGGGCTATAAACCCCAATAAATGTACAAACTACTGACAATGAACTCACTTGTCCCGACTTCCATGGGCACCCCTAAGAAATTCAACCTAATTCAGAGTGGTGTTGATACCAATCAATTTTTAAAACATTTCTGCTTTAATTATAAAAACAAGAGACCTATTTTGAATTTTAAAAGTGTAGGACTGGGAGGTGTAGGGAATCCATTTCTTTTAAAGGTCCTTTGTACAGTCAGTAAATCTGTAATACTCCCCGCTGGCCAAACTAATAGCCAAAATATGACCCACGAGGGGCATCAAATCAAAGTAAGAAAGGCGTATCCTGCACATAACACGCATCCAAGAGAGGGCAGACGACGGTGCCCTCGCTCAGTTGAAAAGGAGCCGAGCGGAAATACAGAGCGGACCACTGGGCATGTAATGCCTCTTTTGACCTGAGGAGCCTCCACTAGAAAGAACTCTGCAAACAAAAGTAACTTCCAAAGGTGGTCGCCTGAGGACAGGGCACACTTGAAGCGAGACCAGGTGCCAAGAAGCATACGTTGGCTTTGGCGGGGTTTCTTTTCTTCTTCTTTCCCCGACGGCTCACTCTTTATTTTTTTTCCAAGCCTCAAACTAGCCGACAAGAAAAATCGAGAAAGAGAAAGAAAGAAGACCGCAGAGGGAGGGAGGGAAGGAGAGCCCTAATAAACGAGCGAGGGAGAAATGTGTGACAGCCCCAGACGCCCGGCTCCCTTACCTCCAAACATCTCCGCCAAACCGAGCCTGAGGGCAGGAAGTGGCGGCGCTTTTAAATACGGTGAGAGGGAGGGAGGGAGGGAAGGAAGGAGAGCACTAATAAACGAGCAAGGGAGAAATGTGTGACAGCCAAGACGCCTGGCTCCCTTACCTCCAAACATCCCCGCCAAACCGAGCCTGAGGGCAAGAAGTGGCGGCGCTTTTAAATACGGTGGTGGGGGGGGAGGTGGTTTTGAAAAAAATGAAGAAGAAGCAGGTTTAAAATAATACTAATAGGCAAGCATCCTTCTTCAGCGGGCAAAGCCTGTGGCGGCTGGAGGGGGACGAGATTCTCAGTCAGACAGCAGCCCTCCCTCTCGCTTTACGGGCTGCCGCCGCCGCCTCTCCCCCACACTCACTTTGGGGCTTCCCTCCCTTTTTTTTTAAAGCGGGGGGGGGCGAAACAAGCCCGAGGGGCAGCTTGCTTTGTAAGGCTCTAAGGGGCGGGGTGGGTGGATTCCCAGGTTCTCGGCCACTTTTTTTTCCCGCCTTCCACAAAAGCCAACCGGGGTCGTTCTCTCTGACCATCGTTTTCCTCCCGAAGGGAAAGGCGACGCCGCCACCAATAACGGGTAGCAGCCATCCCTCGGGGATTTTTTTGCCCCCCTCTCAGGAAAGAGCGGGTTCTAAATCAGGCGCCGCCGCCCGACCTCCCCCCCCCTCCA